TATGATGATGAGAAATCATAGATACGGCTACTGGCAAGGGGCCAGGCAAGGGTGGGTATCGTTTTTTTTTTTTTTTTTTTTTTTTTATTTATTTGACACAGAGAGACAGAGGGAGGGAACACAAGCAGGGGGAGTGGGAGAGGGAGAAGCAGGCTTCCTGCAGAGCAGGGAGCCCGATGTGGGACTTGATCCCAGGACCCTGGGATCATGACCTGAGCCAAAGGCAGACGCCTAACACCTGAGCCACCCAGGCGCCCCGGGTATCCTTATTTTTAATACTTGGAGGTAAACAACCCTGTTACTTATAAGCACTGAGTGAGTCAGGCCCTTGACCATTTTTGAGCGTGTGTTCTCATCATTTATCGAATGGGAGTGCTGGCGTCTCTGCACGGTGGTTATAAGATGAACTAAAACACAAGTGTCTGCTAGTGTCTGCTACGCGCACGCATCGCTAACTATTAGTAGGATCTGAGAATCCCAGGGTCAGAGAATACAATTCCCTCTTTAGCTGTGAATTTTTTTTCCATTACATCTGGAGTCTGAGGAAGATCCAAGTCCTGTTGGCTATCCAGTGGTTTCCAACTCTATCACTAATACTTGTAGCTGAGTTTTAGGTCAGTTTGATATCATTTCTTCTTTTTTTTTGTTTAGTTTTTATTGCATAATCATAAACTTAACTCTGCAATGCAGCTGGACTTGGAGGGGAGTAAGGAAAATATGAAACCTATAGAAGTACAGGAAGAGCACAAAGATATGGGATATTTTGAGCAGATGGGGGTGAGGGGTGCTCGCCTGAGCTACAGAAGGAATGGTCTGGTCATTAAGATAAAATACAAGTCAAATATATTATAGTTGTCCACAGTCAGTGATGGTGATCTTCTCGCTGGTCTTGTGGGTCCTGCACCCAAAGCGCCCCATGCCTTGCACAATATTCGTACCCTCTTTCACTTTGCCCAAGACCACACGCTTGCCACCCAATCGCTCAGTGTTGGCCGTGCAGATGAAAACCCGGGAGCCGGTTGTGCTGGGCCCAGCATTTGCCATGGACAAGATGCCAGGACCCGTATGCTTCAGGATGAAATTCTCATAAATTCTCTGCCCATAGATGGACTTGCCACCAGTGCCATTAAGGCACATGTAGTGGCCACCCTGTGCACAGAAGTCCTGGAATAATCCCGTGAAAGCAGGAATCTTTAGAACCAAATCCTTTCTCCTCAGTGCTCAGAGCGCGAAAGTTGTCTGCTGTCTTTGCAACTTTGTTTGCAAACAGCTCTAAGGAGACATGGCCCAAGGCTCGCCTACCAAGGCGGATGTCAAAGAACACAGTGGGGTTGACGTGGCTGGGTGGTGTGGGGGGGCTCCCGGGTGGTGGGGTCTTCAAGGCTGCCATCATTTCTTCTGAGTGAGATTTGTGTTTCCTTTTGGCTAAGGTAAAAGTTTTAGACATAGGAACAAATCGTGGACTTGCCTTGGAGAGCAGAATGGTCCTCCGTCCTGGCTGGTCTTCAGAATCACTGGGGGTGAGGGGAGGGCTTGAAAAACAGCCCCAGTTCCACCGACACTTGCTGAGGTGACTGGGGCAGCTGGGCAGGGTTGGAGCTCAGTTGGAGAACTGCTGCTCTGTGCTACATGCTTCTTACAGAGGTGGTGGAGGCCTGGCTGCCTATTCTATTACTTGCTTTTTCCTCAGCCTCTGTGAATGCCTTTCTGGCTTTCCTTTTCTTTTCTTTCTTTCTTTTTTTTTTTTTTTTGTATTCACGTAGTTGACAAAAGGTTCAACTAAAGCACATAAAGGGCAGGGTTAATCTTGACACTGCCCAAAATTATAGGATCACGTTTGATGGGAGAGAGGAAAAAGGTCTTTTCTAAACATCTAAAAAGAACGTAAATATTTACACCCAGTGTGGCAGCAAGTGGAGAAAATCAGCCCTTTTGGCCAATAGAAGTCTTTTGTGTTAAGGTTAAAAAAAAGCCTCTTTTATGAGGAAATCTGGAAATGTGAATTATAGCCCTAGCCCTGACAAAATGGGCAGGTTGATTAAACCTCCCTGAATCTCAGTTTTTTCCTCTATGAAAAGAATACAGTGATGACATTACTTGTCCTGCTTACTTCCTTATGTGGTAGTCAAGAGCAAGGGAATCAAACCATTGGCCGTAATTTACAGAACGCAAAAAACAGAACAGTGGAAAGAGTCACAGGTTCTGCATCTGCCCCCAGCTGCCTTGTGATCTTGGGCAAATTAACTTTCATTGTAGTCCCTTACTTTCCCCAGCTGCAAAGTGGGACCTGTAATGCCTAATGCTGACCTTGGTGGGATGTCATGGGGACAAAGTAGAGGGTGTTTGTGAAAGTGTTTGAAAAAGCCAAAACCTTGCATTACACTACAGTAGTGTTATAGTCTTTATTTCACAGACGATGAACAGAGTTAGTGTGAGGTGACAACCTCTGAGCATTCAGGGCCAGGCCTTGTGGCCTCAGTGTCTCTGCCTCCTGCAGACATCCTCTATGCCCTGCTTAACAGCACTGACTTCTCTTTACTCTCAGTGGCTAATCTTCCTGAGGTGAAGGCAGGCCCAGACCCATTCTTGGGGTGAGGCCAGGAAGAATAAGGCCATTTATATCTCTGCTCAGGTGACGGGAAAATCCTTTCATCCCGCTTCACCCAAAAGCATCGCGAGCGAAACTTGGGGAATCCAAAGGCTTAAAGTGCCATCTAGTGGCAACACTGGTGAATGACTATTTTTGTCGGTAGCTTCAATGGCATGGGGGTACCAGGAACAGATTTGTTTTCTTCCTCTCTTAAATTTGTCTACCCTGGCATCCACCAAATGGAAACTGATGTAATTCTCCACCTTCTCTGCTTGCAGACCAGACTGCAGAGCGGTGCTGGATGCACACTGGGAAGCTCTGCCGGCCTGAACTGTTCCTAAGTTATGCTTTCCGCTGTTAGGTCCAGGCTTGTTGTCAGATGTGTCCATGTGACCGAGTTTTAGGTGGTGGAATGTGAGCAGAAGCAATATGCTTCACTTGTAGGTCGGGCTCATAAAACTTCCCACATGGGGTCCTCCATGCTTTTTCTCCTTCTGCAGTTTGATGCAGATGGGCACGGCAGTCTGGGAATTCATGCCTAACTGTGTGGCATTGCTTAGTGAAGTCAGTCGCTCGACCCGCTGGTTTCCCCTCTGCCCACCTGCCACTGGGCCATCACTGCGGGTTCTACTGACAGGTGGTGTAGGAGACTGTCCACTGTCACCAGGCATCTCCTCTGTGACTGTTAGGAAAATCCTGCGGTGCAATGCTACGGTCTGTGTCATAGTCACTACCGTGACCATTTCTCCTAGTCTTGGGTCTAAGAAAACCCAGGATTTTCATTCACACCATAATCTTTTAAAATTCCCAAAAAACTGACTTCAATTTTTTAAAAAAGATTTTATTTATTTATTTGAGAGAGAGCAAGTGAGAGAGAGCGAGAGCATGAGCTGGGGCAGGGGTGGTGGCCGGGAGGAAAGGGGGAGGGAGAAGCAGACTCCCCGCTGAACAGGGAGCCCGCCATGGGGACCCAGGACCCTGGGATCATGGCCTGAGCCAAAGGCAGATACTTAACTGACTGAACCCCCCGAATTCAGTTTTTACTCTGCATAGGCTTGTCCAGCAGGGTCAGTTCAGGTGTGGCCACATAGACTTAGGGCAACCATTCTGCAGCAGAATCTTCTTGTCAAAGCGTGTGCAGACGTACCTGTTCTACCTGCCCCACCACTTGCTAGTTCTTACCATTTGAGCAAGTTACTTAACGTCTCTGCTTTAGTCCTCCCTTCCGTAAAATATAGATAATAATAGTAAGATCTACCTCATAGTGTTATCATGTGTTATTATGAGGATTGAATGAGAGAATATGCTTAGAAGGTGTTTGGCACACTGGAGGTGATAATGCCTAATAATTTAAGCAGAAGCTCCATTTTCTAGCAGCAGGGGAATCCCTTCCTCATCACAGTAATTCCTGGCCTGACCAGCTAGTCTTCTGCAGTATAGGCAGTTACAAGCCAGGGAAGGGGAAAGGAAAAAAGGAAGCATTCCAAGCTTGAGGCTTTTCACTAAATAACTGTTCACTGAGTGACTTCTATGTTTGCCAGGATCTGTGCTGAGTAGCAGGGATGAAATGGCGAGCGAAATGGGCAGGGTCAGTTCATCCCTGGAGATTATAGTCTAGTGGGGACACTTTTTTTTTTTAAAGATTTTATTTTTAAGTAATCTCTACACCCAATGTGGGGCTTGAACTTACAACCTTGAGATCAAGAGTCACATGCTCTACTGAGTGAGCCAGCCAGGTGCCCTGGGACACATAGTTTAATTAATTAATTACATAATAAATAAATTGGAGGGGACTCTGATAAATGATATGAAGGTAGGGTACATGTGCGAATGTGCAAAAGGAACATCAACATGGACTAGTCTGAGAAAGTTGTCTGCTGCCTGGGAGATGCCCAGCTCATCAGAAATCAGTTTGCTTGAGGGTCTGAGGAGCCCTAAAAAGGACCTTGCCTTGAGGGAGAAACGTTCTGGATAAAGGAGACCCCACCAGGAGTTCTTGGTGGCTGGTTGGGAGAGCAAGTTTGAGTACATGTGGTGTCTACTATTTCAGTTTTTTTCCTCATTCAGTCCCCATTGGTTCTGGGTCTGAGTTTTTGGAAAGCGAAGAGCGATGGGAAGAAGAGAGAGACTGTGGCTTGGCTTTGCTTGAGGGCACAGGTTAGACATGTCTCTGGAATTCTTAGAAAGATTCTGACATTGGTTTGCAGAAGTTGGGGCTCACATACACAAGTCGAGGCAGGAAAGAGTAGAATTTGGATTTTGACCGTTACTGTGACCCCAACCTCATTCACAGGTAGAGTTTGAAGTTTGGGGCAATATGAGACCCATACAAATTTCAAGTATATTCTTTCATTGCCTGGAGCAGTTTAGACTCTGGGTTATACCAAAATATACCAGGTGCTGGGTTGGCATTAATTTTATGTGACACAGCTTGTGCTTGGCTCACAGTCTGGAAAGGGATACACAGAACTCCAGTGCAAAGCTGACCTTGAACAAGACTTTTGTCGGAAGGTCCAGGTCCCCAATGACTTCACAGTTTTGCAACCCTGGGAGGAGGAATTGAGATCTATATTATCAATGTGCTTTAATCATGGCAGGAAAGACTCAATGAAAATTACTCTTATATGCTTGAACCCTAAGAAATGAATAACTGCAACCATCTGCCCATTAAAAAGGAACGCAGAGGACACTTGTCATTTTTTTTTTTTTTTTTTGCCCTGAGATAGTGATCTCCATGTTGTTTTGACAGAAACAATTCTATTCTGGAACCTACTTCAATGAATTTTAATCCTCTAATTAAATCACTCTTCTGGATTATCCAAATACATGTTCTGGGATGAAATATTTTACAAGATTTTCCTTTAATGAATCCCAGTGGGATCTAGTGGAAGCCTAATTAGTTCTCTTAATTGGTGTGTTCTATACGAGGAGGCTCAAGCCAACTGCTGATACTAGTATCCTCACTCCACTAAGAGCTTCAGCCCCTGGTTTTTGGCAGTTATCACTTACCCAGACAGATGGTGGTGGGGCCCATCATCCCAATGACTTGTGTACCCGGACAAGGAGGACAAATATTTCCTCCACTCAAGAATATTAATGATCTCTCCAGAAAGTGGCTTTATGAATTAAATAAGGTTTGCTTCCAATTTTTGTAGCCACTACAACATAACTCTGGGTCAGTTATGCAAAACTTATTTGCATAAGAGTGTGATATCAGTGGAATACCTTAGGCTGCGTCTGATACTAGGTTTTATAGCCTGTTCATTGTCTCGGGCCCAGTTCATAGACCAGGCCCACATCAAGTCCCCTTTGACCTCCACTACAGGGGTAACATGGCGTCATGGAAAGACTATGGGTTTTGAAGCAGCACTTAAATTTGTACCCCATTTCCACTTAAAGGTAGCTTTGCGATGTTGCACAAATTCCTTAATTTTTCGAATCTCATTCTCCTGAGTTATACAAAGGAGAGAAAATATACTCAGCAGTGTTATTGTGAGGATAAAATCTGATAAACTAAACAATAAATATTATGCAGAAAATATCATTTCTTCATCTGTGCTCTTCAAAGTACATGACTTATATCTCTAACTAGCATTTACCTCATTCTCTCTTGTATTGCAGGTAGTTTTAAAATTAGCATGTGTAGGCTAGGCATGTAATAGCATATAACGGACCCAGGCATGTAATGGTTCAACACAGTAGAAGTTTATTTCTTGCCCTTTCTCTTGCTCCAGAGGTCCATGGAAGGGGATCTGTTCTATGTAATAGAAGAAGATGTGGCTGGGAAAATTTGGATTACAAGGCACATAAAGATTTAAGACATTAAACAAATACCAGATTAAGGGTATTATTTTCCCACTCAAGTCTTTTCTTTTAGTTAGTCTCAAGGTAGCTATCCTCATCATGAAAGGGAGAGAGAAGCGTAGGGACTAGCTAGAGAAGAAATAAAACAAACTTCAGAACTGTGTCTAGGAAAGAAACTAGGTTGTGATAATTGACACATAAAAATGACTGAAAGCAAATTATATCCAGTCCAGTTGTGTATATACCTGTCTCTTGCTAGAATGCAGGTTCTTTAAGAGCAGCAATGTTGCTTAATATTCTCTGCATCTCCTTGCCAGTACCTGGCAATTTATAAATGCTGAATTGAATTGAAGCTCATGGATCCTTTGAGTGAGGGGTACATTAGAGACTTAAATGCCAGCATTTGGACATTGCCAGGAGGGAGGGGTGGCTATAAGCACCTCGAGGCTAGTGATAAGAAATGGGTCAAGGTAGAATCCCAGAGCTGCTGCAACCAAGGAGGATATGATGTTTATTAAATGCGCCCCCAGAAAATATTTTGCTTGTTATAGATTCACTATACCTTTAAAGAGAGCGGGTAATATTCAATGGCAGGTGTTTTGTTCCTTTTATTGACTTGAAAACTTTGGTTCTATAGTTTTGGATATAAAGGGAGAAAAATATGGAGTTTCTGGGGTAGGGGATGAGGTAAGGACAGCTGTTGGGGTGAGGTAAGGGGCAAAGGAAGGAGGAGGAAGAAGTTGAGACAAGAGAGACTGGAAACAGGTGAGCTGAGGGGTCCTTGAGCCTCCATGGTGAAGGGCCTCAGGCAGCGATGAGAGGATGCTGACCATTCCACTGGAGGCTGCTTCTGTGCTGTGCTGTGTAACCCCCCTTCCCCCCACCCCAAATCTCCAGCTAAGGCAAGCAGCCTACGTATCCATAGGTGAGGGGAGGCATCCTTGTGAACTCAGAGAAGAGGAAAGCTTCCAGTCTGGCAAAAGTGGTGTAAACTAGAGAGAAGTGTGGAGAAGCAGACACCTAGAAGGGGAAGCAGTGGAAACTAGGAGCTGAAAGCCCTACTTCTCTCCCCAGGGCTCAAGGGCTTTGTGCTTCTACAGTATGTGGCATTGAGTTCATTGTACCTTGAGCCCCACAAGCTGGTGGTCCCAGCTGGTGTCTCTTCCTCTGCAGAGAAAGTGTTCAGAATTTGAACCTCTGGGCAAGAGCTTCCAGTGACAGTACTCATTCCTTCTGTGTCCCAGAAGGCGAAAGGGCAGTCTTAATTACTATGAGAGCTGTGGTCCCTGGTCCCTAAATACCTCTGTGGGTCGTACCCTAGTTGGGCCGACCTACCTATGAGTGTTACAGCCTCCTGTCACCACGACTAGAGGTAGGTCAGAAGGCCCTCTGTGCCTGTAGCTGAGCAGGGCGGGGAAAATAAGCATTCATCATCTGTTTCGTTCTAATTAGGTGTCAGGATCTATTCTAGGCATCCTAGCATAGTTAATCCTTACAGAAACTTTACAAGGAGGTATTATCCCCAGTTCATCTATGAGCAAACTGGGCTCAAAGAGTTTAAGCGGCTTGTCCAAAAACACATGGCCGACAGAAGGCAGACTTAAACTCATATTCAGGCTATCATTTATTGTGCATATGTCTGTTCATATTATACATGTATTTTAGATACACAATGTGTTACGTATAATATATACACAAAACATTGTTCTAAGTGCTGAGGTTCCAATGTACAGCAAGACACCATCCCTGCCCTTACAGAGCTCACAGTGCAGCTGGGAACACAGGCAAGGGAAATAGGAGTTAAACATATAGAAACCAAGGAGGCAGGTGCTGGGTTACTGCAGGTTTCCAGGCAGGTTTGAAGGAAGGCCAAAGGGGTCTGAAATTAATGGAAATAACAAGAAAGTAACTCAAGTGAAGAATCTTGGGATGGAAGTTTCATTTTTTTCAATCTTCATTTTTTTCATTTAAGAATAAGCAAAATAGTGTCCACCTCACCGTCCTGTTGTGAGAACCCCATTTAATCTGAAAATATACTTGAAAAAGCTCTTCCAGTCATTCATTCTTTACTCATGCAACTTAGGCATTTTTGATGCCTATAATGTTCCAGGACTATGCTCGGTGCTGGGAACACTCTGGGAACAAAGCAGATATGGTCCCACCCTGCCCTCTTGCAGCTGTCAGCACCCTATGGGGGGCACACACATTTATCCAATGATCACAGAAATATTTAAACTCTAACAAATGCTCTGCCTGTTAGTTAAAACTGGAAAGACAAAACAAATAAGCAAAGGGGAAAAACAAGTAAGATAGAGAGGGAGACAAACCAAGAAACAGACTGTTAGCTATAGCGAACGAACTGATGGTTACCAGAAGGGACGGGTGGGGGATGGGTGAAACAGGTGATGGGGATTAAGGAGGGCACTTGTGATGAGCACCAGGTGATGTACGGAAGTGTTGAATTACTATATTGTACACCTGAAACCAATATAACACTGTATATTAGCTAACTGGAATTAAAATAAAATATTAAAATAAAATGAAACTTACAAAAATAAAAAAATGAAAAGAAAGATGAATGGCTGAAAGTCAGATATTATGAAAAACTAGTGTGAGAGGGAATTAACTGAACACAAGCGTTTGGGTCCTATTGAGTCCGGGACCTATTCAATCCTGTTGAAAACAGGCAGCTTCTCTTTCCGCTACACAATACCCAGCCTGCACATGTTTAGTCAAATGGTGTTGTGGACGGAACTCACTTTTGAAGTCAGGTAGATCAGAATTCACCTTCCGGTTCTGTTCTTTACTAGCAGGGTCACACTGAGTAAGTTACTTACCCTCTCTGTACCTCAGCTTCAAATGATTGAGGGGGATGGATGATGATGGTGAAGATGACGAAAATGAGAACTAACATTCATTGAGTTCCCACTGTGTGCTTGGCAAGATCCTTAAGTGTATGAATTCATCTAACAGGATTGTTGTGAGGATTAAATGAAATAGCATATTTAAAGTATGTAGCACGGTTTGTGGACAAAGCAGGAATCTAAACACAGTAGCCAATACCTGTGGTGTAATAAGGGTGGGGCAGTTGAAGGGTCTGCTGCCCGTGTGAGCAATAAGGGGGTGCACTGTCTGTGGAGAATTTATAAACAATAATAAAGCTGTCTGGAAATTGGTTTGCTTTTTATGGTCACCATAAATAAGAAATTCTAAACAATGTCAGTTACAAAATACTTGTCCCTGAAAAAACAAAAACAAACAAACCAACCAACAACTGTGGGTACTGTGGAGTTTGAATAATTTCAAACATGCACAGATATATATGCATCATCTAGTACATTTTTGTTACTTATCTTTTATTAAAAATTGTAATTTACGTGGAAATTAATTTGGAGAACTTCCAGTTATTCCATGAGCCCCTGACACACGTGGACTCAGCTGCACAGGTGGATTTGGAAAGGAAATTTGAAACCATGTGGAATTGTTTTAGCCCATTTTGGGCATGTATTTCTGCCTTTAAGCAGGAGATTCAAAATAAAGAGGGATAACACCATGATTGAAAGATGAAGAAACAGAGCTTGAGTTACTCCAATTCCTTTGTTCTCTGTTCCAATCATTCTTGGAACAATGTGCAGTTCAGTCTCTTGGTAGCAGTTCGTTACATGTTTACAACCCTCTCTTTTAAAGTAGCTAACATAAATATGAAGTGTTAACCCATACTTGCTTCCTTTTCTACTTTAAT